CCTGATCTTGGCGGATTTGGATGCACCAATGGCAAGGTTAGTATCTAGATTCTACTAATTTCGTCTCCATGATTTTGTTTCGTTTGATTGTTTATTTGACATTCGCTATCGATCTTGATGCCATGAGAACTCTCACATCCTTAGGTTTCTGGGGTTTTAGTTTCGATAATGGAGTTAACTGTGCGTTTATTGATGAAGGTACAAGTGATTCAGAAAATTTATCACGATGGAGAGGTGAACAGAGCTCGTTATATGCCTCAAAACCCTTTCGTGATAGCATCAAAGACGATAAATGCAGAGGTTCATGTTTTTGATTATCGCATACATCCATGTGAATCTGATCCACCTTCAGAAAGAGAAAAAGAATGCAAACCTGATTTGAGATTGAAGGGTCACACTGCTGAAGGATTTGGTCTTTCATGGAGTAAATTCAAGAAAGGTTATTTGTTGAGTGGTTCTGATGATTCTAGAATTTGTTTGTGGGATGTTCATGCAACTCCAAGAAATAAGACTCTTGATGCTATGCAAATCTTCAAGGTACATTTAAAGTCTAAAGTCTAAACATAATATTAATTATGTTAATTATTGGTTGACATTAATTTAAGAATGAAATGAATTTCCATATGAATCTTGTTATTTGATTCTAAACACAATGCATAATTTTAAATCTATTCTATACATTAATTTTAATTATTACAAGATTTAAAGAATTTAACATCATAAAGGCTCATTAAATATATTCTATACATTATTCTAATTATTACAAGAATTAAAGAATTTAACATCATAAAAGCTCATTAAATTTATTCTATACATTATTTTAATTATTACAAGAATCATAAAAATGATCATCTCTTCAAATAAATTTTAATTATCGCTAAACAACCACCAATTTTGTAAAACACATTTTTTTTTTTTTTTTATGAAATTGCTTTATCAATAGTCACCATAGAAAAAATCTTTAATAAAGTTTTTGTTAATTTCTAATACCCAATTAATTCCTTTTTATCAGATTCATAAAGGAGTCGTAGAAGATGTATCTTGGCATTTAAAGCATGAACATTTATTTGGTTCAGTTGGTGATGACAAATACTTGCACATATTTGATCTTCGATCTCCAACATTCACCAAACCTATCCAAACCCTAATGGCTCATCAAAACGAAGTACATATTCATATTTCATACATATATATATATATAACTATATGTGTATTCACTATTTGTTCATACATATATATATGTATACGTGTATATTTTAAATTTTTTAATTGATTATTCATGTATTTAAATATTAGGTCATGTCGTTATCATTCAACCCTTTTAACGAGTGGACATTGGCAACGGGGTCAACAGACAAGACTGTAAAGCTATTCGATTTACGAAAACTTACGACTGCTCTTTACACATTTAGTCATGAGTAAGAGTTCTTGCATGAAATTACGTTTTTACCCTTTTCCGTAAATTAATCAATCTACTCTCATGATCATTAGGGACGAGGTAATTCAAGTTGCATGGAGTCCGAAGAATGAGTCAGTTTTAGCATCTAGCTGTCTTAATAGACGACTCATGATATGGGATATCAGTAGGTAGGTAACTATACACATTTTTAGTAGGAAATTACTTTTTTACCCTTAGGTTAATTACGAGTTTGTAGGATTGGAGAGGAGCAAGTGCCGGAAGATGTGAAAGATGGGCCACCGGAGTTGGTGTTTATTCATGGTGGGCATACGAGTAAAGTGTCGGAATTTTCATGGAATTCAAATGAAGAGTGGGTGATTGCTGGTGTTGCTGAAGATAACATTCTTCAGATATGGAAGATGGCTGAAAACATATATCACGATGAAGAAGATGATTGGGCTGATATGCCTGAAGATCAACCCGGCCCATCTCAAAACAAAAAAAACAAATAATTTTAATTTCTTTTTGTTACTCTAAAGGATTTTTGTTGCTCAACCCTTTCAACTTGTGAATATTATGTTAGAGCAATTAACTAGGTTAGGTTGGTTGCATGTTGATTAGACCTAAACTTGTAACCAAACAACCTGTAAGAGATTTTTTGTATAAAAATCCGTTCAGTTGTAAAGATACATTCAAGTTTCATTCATAATAAAACCACTTTCTTTCTCATATCATATTCTATATATGCTTAATTACTATTTCTCTAGTTTTCTACCATTTTATTGTTATATAACCTTAATATTATGTAGCATTGGTATGGGAGCCATATGATCCAGTTCGTATTGTTGTTGTTGTATAGTTAGTTACCAATTCAATAAAATTGCATCAAGTGGATTCGAGTAAGGATAATGTGGTAAAGTATGAGTTAATGATGCATAGGAATACTCATATATATCAGTGATGAATTATTCTTTGAAAGTTTCGAAAGAGGTTTAAGCCCTAACATTAACTCATTTGTCAAGACATTCAAACCCAAAACAATTTCACATGCAATAGAATTGCAAGATTGCAAGAAGAGTCATTAACATCCATCAAGTAATTCTACATTTTACTTTATCTTGGTATATGTTTCTCCCGTTATTATACGTTTTACCCTATTTCTACATCCTAGTTAATTATCCGTTTTCTTGTTGGGTTTGCACTTGTTTATGGGACTGAGAGTTTGATATTTCTTTGCTTGTGCTTTGCATCATTCAAGATATGTTTTCAATTACTAAGGTCATCGTTTGGATCCGCTATATGGTTCATGGAATTGGTCTATATCAAGAGATCATTAGAGTCTAAGTGGCAACAACTTTTAGTTTATGAGGAGTTATTAGCAATTGTGTTTGATGTCCATAAATGAGTCAACGTTTTACTATTAAGACCGATCAAGCAAAGCCACAAGTGGTTGCTACAACAAAATTGTGGTATTTGATCTTATGATCATATTATCTAACAAGTCTTTGTGATTGCTACTTTAATTAGTAGGCAATTTTTCAAAAATTAGTAACAATAAAGTAGAGGAATCATGTATGTTTTAATGAAAAAAATACTACATTGTGACGACTATGGAGACATAGAATTTTTATTAATTATTGTGCCTCTTATGTAATTCTTTGTTGCTTCCCGTCTAGTTTCTTGTTCGCAGGTTGCTAATAAAATTTATGTCATTAAAAAAAAGTACATATCATGGTTTTAGAGTACATATCGTGGCGTCTAATCATTTATGGAATGATTTTTGGGCGGATGGTATAAGGGGCATAATAGTCTTTTCATGTTGATACAGACCAAAATTACTAAAAAGATCCAAAATTGGACAACCATGCTACAACACTTTTTTGGACAAAATCCACATTTTTCTCAATCACATGACACCATTTTTGCAATTGTCTTTTTTAAATGAAAGTCTAGTTTCTACGTAATCTTGCTGGTGGTTATTTCTTTTTTTTTTTTTTAATAAAGTTTATGGACATTGTAGTATTTAAGCTTGTGAACATGTTAGTGAAATGTTTAAAATATTTCTTAATACTATTAACACAGAGAAATCATGTAGATCTTGACTGGTAGAATGAATAATTTGTAATGACTATGGTGACTAAATGAGTAATTTAAGCTTTTCAGTATTGGCGGATAAACATTTTAATGGAAATTGTTAATATGAAAACATTAACTTGTCTAATAATTCTAAGCCAGTTTTTGCAATGAAGCATTGAAAAAGAATTTAATAATTAGCAACTTAACACACCACAAGAAAAATCATAAATAGCTACAAAAACTTGCTACGGAATTGAAATCCATAGCTATTCTATTATGGAATGTGCTACAAAATGGCTTTTCGTAGCCACTTTGCTACGGAAATCGCTACGGAGTTAAATTCCGTTACTAAACTAGGAATAACTACAAAAAGTTACTACGTAATAAAAAATTGTAGATATTATACTACGAGATATGCTACAAAATGGCTGGCCGTAGCTATTTTTCTACGGAAATAGCTACAGAGTTACATTTCCATAGCTAAATCTTGAATTGTTGCTACAAAATCAAAATTTGTAGCTATTTTACTATGAAATATACTACATGGTTGTTGGTTGTAGCTAGTTTGCTACGGAACTTGTTGCATAATCCATTTTCCTAGTTGGTTGGCTATAAAATCGGTTACGAAATAAAAATACGTAGCTAGTTGGCTACATAATAGAAACTCATAGCTATTTATGAACGGAAATTTGCTACACTATAAAAATCTATAGCTAATCTACAACAAAATTTGTAACGAAAAGGTTAACCGTTGTTATTTGTTTATCTAAGTTGTTTTTGAATTTGCAAAATAGTTACAAAATCTAAATTCGTAGCTATGTGGCTACGAAATGTTTTGTAGTCAGTTAGTTACGGAATATAATTCCGTAGTAAAATACAAAAAAGTATATTACCAAAAAATATAAATTACAGTTTTTAATTGTGTTATGATTTTTAATTATGATTAATAAAATTCTTTACATATTATTATAAGTTTTTTCTTTATTCTTATTATCATTATTTTGTTATATATTTTTAATATATATTAACATATATAATAAAATCACAACAATCTTATGAATAGTAACTTATCTAGGTACTGTTCACCCCACGGCTTCTCACCGAATCCGATTCTTTTGTCGTTCTTTCCCTTCACCGCTTCCTCATCCATCGCCTAAGTTTGTCTGTCTCTCGATTCCGTCTTCCACTACTCATTTGTTGGCGTAGCGTCATTCGAGCGTCCCCGAATTGGAGCTACAAACACGGTACTTTTCCATAAACTTTTCAATTGCCAACTCCAAATTGACAAGGGTTTTGATTTTTGGTTGCAATTTTGGGATACTGGTACCACCCACTTCATAGAATTCAGCGTATGTCTTGGATTTATGATTGTCAAAATGGTCACAGAACATCTATTGTTGACAATATGTTGAAACTTGGAGGGTTTAGATTGTAACTTATAAAAGATAGAAGGTGTTTTGTGTCGTTTTCATTTCCAGCTTTCATATATAAAAGCATAACCTGTAATCCCATTTTAGTTGATGAAAAATACGATTACAACATTTCTTTTGTTAAAATGGTATCAGAGCACGTACGAATTCCGCAAATTCTGTTCTTCGCTAGATCATTTCTTTTTTGATTAATTCAAAATTTTCTTTGATTTCTTGCTTCGATTCATCATGGATTCTGTTCTTAATACTAATAGTGATGCTAATGCGAAAATAAACGATTCTCATCTGTTTCTCGTTTCTAATCTGTTAACTGGAAACGAAAATTATATGCAATGGAAGTACTCGATCCAAATTGCTCTAGGAGCAAAGAGGAAAGCCGGATTTATTGATGGCACGACGAAGAAACCAGAATCTGAAGGAGCAGAGCTTGACGACTGGATCATTCTTATTTATTGTGAAGAGAAATTGAATCTGTTCGAAGCCCAGTCACTTAACATTCTTAGATTTACTTTTGTTCTTCTTTCTATCTTGTGGCTCAACTTCATTTAATTGATAATGTTTGATTTTGATTTTACCGATGTGTTATTCCTGTTTCTCACTTTATCTCCATCGCCTTTCAAACCATCGAAATCGATGCTTCTTGAAGATGAAAATCAATGTCATGTTGTGAACATCGACCCCGCGACACCTCTTCATCTTCGATTCCTATCTCCCCTTTGCTCCTTTCTAATCAATTGGTGGTGGAAGGAAGAATGAGGAGGTAATGTTTCTTCCTCTTTCACGTTTCTGTACTTTCTGAAAACAGTTACGATATTACAACTTGCTAATGGTCGCATACATCTTTGTTTTGTTTTCTCTATGTGAAACGAAGAGAGCTGAAACCGATGATACAGTCTCTGATACTCCTGCTACACTTGAAACGTTTGCTGAAAGGTATTAGTAGGGTTTCTTTTTTGCTTATATATGTTAACCCATAAATAGAGCTCCATCTCTCTTCTGAAAGCCAATGCTCTGCACCCTCTGGAACATCACATGTTCATGGAATTATATATTGTTTGTGTTTATAGAATTGCACACTACCTGTTTGATGTTATGCTTGAGTGAAACTTATATTCATGAATTTTTCTTTTGAAGATGGTTCACATATTGTAGTTAATTCAACTTATCATTTTGAATTTTGGTTGGTAATAAAATTATGTTTTTTTACTTGCAATGTTTAAGTTTTTTAGGAATTTACTTTTTGTGGTTTTCAGATACTGGTTTTTCTTTGTTTCAGTAGCTTTATTGTTCAGTATTTGGTGAATAAATTCTGTATATTGGGGAAAGTTCATGTGTTTTTTTTTTGGCCTTAATCATGGTAATCTTATACTACTAAAAGATCAAAGTTAGGTCACTCAATCCATTTAAATCATCAAAAATTGAAGGCAACTTGATTACAGGAAAGCCATCCACTCCTGTCCCAATCACAGTTCTTGAAGGAGATAATAGCTACGGAATTTGCTACGGAACAAATAGCTACGTAATTTGTTACGGAACAAATGGCTACGGAATTTAGTACGGAACAAATGGTTACGGAATTTGCTACAAAACAAATGGCTACGGAATTTGTTACGGAATAAATGACTACGGAATTTGCTACGCTCCCCATTGTTACGAAATTGTTATGGAAGTGTGTTGTAGTTAAATTGTTACGGAATAAGCGTCATAGCAAAACTGCTACGGAACTATAATTCTGTAACTAAACAGTTTGCTACAAGAAATATAACTACGAAATCTAATTGACGAATTCCGTAGCAACTTCTGTAGTTATTTAGATTTAGCTACGGAATTTTAGCTTTTAGCTACGGAATTTTTTCGTAGCTAAATCGAAATTTTCTTGTAGTGACAAATGTCTTTCACAGTCAAGCATTTGGACAACAGTTTAAAAGCTACTAATTGCTAGAAGCATCCCAAAAAGAGACACCTATTTAAACTATAGTCTTTATATTTTCACCACTTTAAATGCTTGAAAAATACTTACTTGGATACAAAGAAACCATATGAATAAATCGTGTTCGCTTCATTAAAGCGATTTTTCACATCTTTTTAAGTCTTAGCATTCTTCCTTTACATATGGTTTATTGGTCTAATCCAAAACAAAATATGATGCAAGGGCTTTTATAAGATGGTGTTAAGTTTTTTCAAGACTGTCAAATGAGAGCAGAACTTAGTTAGCCAAAAAAATTGAAACACAAATAGCTTCAAACTCTTTTTCATTGCAAAGTTAAATAGTTTCGAAAACTTTGAAAAATAAATCATAAGTTAAAACTGTTAATTGCTAGAAGCATGCCAACAAAGGAATACCTCTCCAAAAATAGGTGTATGCCACTTGAGGTAACAAGCACACGGTATTCTTTAGTAAAAGGCGAAAGAATAGTTCGCTATGTGCTTATTACATGGCTGCTTGATTATATTAGATTGCTGTAGGGTTTTTTTTTTTATAGAGCTTATTTAAATTGTATATTTCTATTCAAGTAGCGATGTGGGAATGCAACTTGACAGGTTTTTCTTCTCCATGCATGCCCTGAATAAAATATTCCCCCCAAAGTCCCGTTTTTAAATTAACAGAAGTAAAAACCGATGATGACTGTGTCTATTAAAAATCTGTTTTCATACTGCAAAGGTTTTGATTTGATGATAGAAAAAAAAAAAGACTGTTTCTAAATATGAATTAAATTGATGTTTTTTATACATTTGGGATTGGATTATTAATACTTCTATCAGCGAATAAAATGGATTATGCTGTAATATGAATTGCGAAAAAGTTCCATTGCCGGGAATCGAACCCGGGTCTCCTGGGTGAAAGCCAGATATCCTAACCGCTGGACGACAATGGATTTGTGTTCTGTTTGCGTATTTTAATTATTTTATTTTTCTAAAGGGGCCAATAGAAGACCGTGAAGCTTTTTGATTTACAAAAACCAACGATTACTCTTCATACAATAAGAGCCCTTGCATATGTTTTTGGAAACTACCTTTTAACTGTTTTTCTGACAACAACCAATCTATTGGTGTTTCAGGTGTTGGATGGAGTTTGAAGAAGACATTTCTAGCATCTTGTTGTTGTTTCGTAGCTAGGACTTAGGAGACTCGTGCATGTAATCTTAGTAGCTATACTCTTGAATTATCCATTTTTTTAGTTTTTATTTAGGATTAAGGTCATACAATATGACAACATTAATTTTTTCCATTTGTCCTACGCTCGGTTACGTACCAATTCTCACTACTAGAAAAAGATAGTTATTCCTCCGAAAAATTCCCGGAAATAGAAGTCTCCTAGGAATTTCCGAGGAAATTACTTCCTTAGAAAAAACCCTCGTAGGAAAAGCTTTCCGAGGAAATTTTCAAGTCATTCTCCAGAGTCCAGCTCCAATTCCAGATTTTGTTTCTGATGGCTGATTTCAACTTATTACAACTTGTATGATGATCGTTGTACTACAAATGATATAATGCTTTTGGATATCATTTTTACATTTGGAATTTGGGTTTGAATTATTATTACTTCTATCTCTGGATAAATACGAAAAAGTTCAATTGCAGGACTGTGAAGCTGTTTGATTATCTAAAACTGACAACTGCTCTTCATACGTTTACCTGTTTGTTTACCCTTTTTCTTACACCAACTAATCGATTGGTGTTTTCAGTTTAGATGGAGTCCCAAGAATAGACATTCTTAGCATCTTGTTGTTTGGTAGGAGACTCATGCATGTAATCTTAGTATCTATGCTCTTATTTTTTTAGTTATGTTTTAGGATTAAGGTCATAGAATGACAATATGTTCTCCATTTGTCCTACCTTGGTTATAAATTCCTTTTCATATGTGTTAAGTCAAGTCATCTTGTACTTACAAAAAACATTCCACTTGGTCATGATAATTCGGCTTTTGACATGCATGTTTCCGAGACTTGATATGTTATTAGATCTAATCGAGGTTTCACAATCAAGCATTTAAACGAAAGAAACTAACATTTTACAACTCAACATCTGTATTTCACAATCAAGCATCAGAACAATAGCTTAAAAAGTTAAAACTATGAGTTTTTAAGAGGCATCCAAAAAAAGAAGACCTCTCAAAAAATAGGTATATGCCACTTAATGTAACAAACACACGGTATTCTTTAGTAAAAGGCAAAGAATAGTTTGGTATGTGGGAATGCAATTTGACACTTTTACATGCATATACTCTAAGTAAAACATTCCCCTCAAACTAACGGAAGTAAAAATCGATGATGAATGTGTTTGTTTTATTGATGTTTTGGAATTTGGATACATTTGGAATTGGATTGTTAATACACGTACAAAAGAGTTTCCTGGTACAAGCAAAACAGCAACAAAAAGTTCCATTGCCGGGAATCGAACCCGGGTCTCCTGGGTGAAAGCCAGATATCCTAACCGCTGGACGACAATGGATTTATGTTTAAGTTACGTTTTTTAATTACTTGTTTTGGAACGGGGCCAACAGAAGACTGTGAAGCTGTTTGATTTACAAAAACTGACGACTACTCTTCATACAATATTTGATAGTCACGAGTAAGAGTCCTTGCATATGTTTTTGGAAACTACCTTTTTTAACTCTTTTTTTTGACAACAACCAATCTATTGGTGTTTCGGGTTGCACTACTAGAAAATCTGAAAATACCTACGGCAAAATCCGTAGGTATAGGGTTTTACCTACGAAATTGCTACGGAAAATGGGCCGTAGCATAAACGTTCGTGGGTAAATTTTACCAACGGATTTGCAACGGATTAGCTACTGAGAATACCGACAACATTTTTCCGTAATTTACCTACGAAATACATAGGGAACACTATAGCTACGGATTACCGATGGGACCCACTTTGATTGACATTGACTTTATAAACTACGGATTTTCGACGACTCATATTACCGATGGATTCTCCGTAGGTATTCCGTCACTAAATCTCTCTTTAAAAAAAAAGCAATAAATAACAAAAAATCTAGTTTTTTCTCTCCAAGATATTGACAAAACTCATCATATTAAACTTATAATAATATTGAAATTCAACCACAAAACTAATAACATTACAGTAAAACTAATAAACATCATCTAATACCTTAAAAAGTATCAAATACAAATGCATTACTAATGAACATTGTCTAATAATATACTAAATGTGTCTAACAATACACATTAAAAGTGTCATCTATAAATGTTTAACTACGTGCTTAAAACATAAAATTGAGAATTATTTGGTGGATTACTTGACAAATTACCAGGTAAGCTGAACCGACGACTCATACACATACACATAAACACATTTAGAAACACATACACCCATACATACACATACACAAATACATACATACATACATACATACATACATACATACATACATACATACATACATACATATTGTAACACTCAAAGTCTGGAAGGCCAAGAAAGGAAAGAAAACCCTAATTTTAAGGGGAGACTCGGCGAGTCCAAGGAGAAACTCGGCGAGTCCGAGTGGGATCCGGGTCGAGGAGTAAGTGACCGACTCAGCGAGTCAGCCAAGGGGACTCGGCGAGTCTGGTATGTGTGAGGAAACCCTAAATTCGGGACTTGGGACCTATTTAAGCACCTCATTCTCTTCCCTAGGGTTCCTTTACTGCCTCTCTAACCCAGAACACCAAACCTGCCGCCATATCCATTGTTTGAGCCAATTGTTGCCTTGAAAAGTGCATTAACGCTTGGAGAAGGAAGAAGGATCTTGGAGGTGCAAGAAGGGGCTATAGATCTGGGGTTGGGAAGATATTTCTGAGCATTTGGAGGTAATAAACTAGTTCTTGGATTCTTTTGCACCTAGATCTATGTGTGGGTGTTGGGGCTTTTTAGCCATAATGATATCCATTTGAGTTAGAAGCCAGATCTGAAGTTGCTACTTCGGATCTAAGCATATTATGGTCTTGAGAATCATAAAGTATCTACCCTTGAGTTGATTATGGAGCCTCTTTGCCTTAAACCCTAGTTTATGGTGTATTTTTCCTAGATCTCCTTCTCTACACGTAAAGTTTGCAACTTTACGTGAGGAATAGGCTTGGGAAGGGTAGATCTACAGTTTGGAGTCCATGCATGAATCAAAAGTCCTCTGCATGTAAGGAGATCTAAATGGACTTGACGAGTCCTTTGAGTGGACTCGGCGAGTAGCATGAAGATTAGGAGCAACTCGACGAGTGGGATGAACAACTCGTCGAGTCAGATAAAGATTGCCTTGTACTCAGCGAGTCTGCTCTTGAACTCGGCGAGTCAGGTCGTGAAACTCCAAACCCTTCGAATTGAGACTCGAATCAGTGAGTCGAGTGAAGACTCGGTGAGTTGGACAGGTTAGGACTTGGAAATCGGTAGTCTCGGCGAGTCATGGATTGACTCGGCGAGTCGAGACGCGAATGGAAGGACTCTGAACATATGAACTCGGCGAGTAGGGTTGACCTGGAAGGTTGACTTTGACTAGGACTTTGACTTTGACCAGAGTTGACTTGGTTGTCTCTCGGGGGTCAGTTAGACTCAGTG